TCTGCTCATGAAGGATAGGGGATTCTTTAAAAATGAAAATTTAAACCGTACAATTGTTTAAAATTTTCCAATAACAAAGAAAAGGGAAAGACTTCTCACATTGCCTCTATTGTGGGATTGTTAATGCCAAGGTCAAGAAAGAATTCTTGAAGGTTTTACAATGCAACTTAGTAAGTTTAAGTAGCGTGGCCAGAAAGAGCTGCACTTTTGCTGTATGAAGCCAGTGGTTATATGCGTAGTGCTCACGGAGGAGAGTGCAGGTAGTATTAGATCATAAATGTCTTCTTTGAATTTCTATTCGAAAAATTACTTTCACAAGACTTCTGTGGCACTATCATTCAGTTTGATATTAACTACCGGTGAAATAGGCAGTCATATCATCCTTTAAGAATGTAGAAACCAGCATATGTTTAATAGTTATGAAAACTATACAGAGGGCGCCTGGGTGGCTCAGTGAGTTAAGCGTTTGACTTAGGCTCAAGTCATGATCTCAGGGTTCGTGAGTTTGAGCCCTCGTGCAAAACAGTTCCTTTCTGGAAGCGATATTTTCTTTCAGAGCCCGGGAGCCTGTGGGTTTGGGAATTTGTAAACTTCCTTCTTCTTGCCCCTCCTGTTAGGCTGTTCAGGCCAAATAAACATTAAAAAAAAAAAAAAAACAACTATACAGGTTATAGGTCAGCCTCCTGGGCTACATGTGAACACTTTTCCGCTTCTATCCCTCGCCTCACTGTGGCTGTTCAAAGTGTTTAGAGAACTCGGATTTAAGACAATTTTTTTTTAATGTTTATTTATTCTTGAGAGAGAGACAGAGCGTGAACAGGGGAGGGGCAGAGAGAGGGAGACATAGAATCTGAAACAGACTCCAGGCTCTGAGCTGTCAGCACAGACCCCGACGTAGGGCTCGAACCCACGAACTGTGGGGTCATGACCTGAGCTGAAGTTGGATGCTTAACCCACTGAGCCACCCAGGTGCCCCGACAATTTATTAATAATAGGGAAGGAAGGGATTGAGTTTAAGCATGAGTAAGAGAACAAAACCCTCAGAATATTAGAAAGGCTAACTCCCAGAATAAATAGACAAGTACAATCACAAAATAATCCTACCAGTCTCTGAAAAAAAAAATTGATATCATATTTACTGCAAAGAGAAAGAGAAATCAGCCACTGCCTATTTTTCTCCTGTTTTCTTCAGGGATGGATGGGGGGTATTCATACTGAGAGGATAAGGGGAGGAAAGTGTGAAACAAAAAATATAATCCAAGGGAGTAGAGGATTTCCTGCATAGCTTTGGCCCTAACCAATGTCAGCTATTTAAAATGGCATCTGCTGATTGCCCAAAACTGTGGAGACCAGCACTATGTGGCAATAAACGTCAACTCTTGACAGGCAGATATTTGGATATACACTTTTTGCCGTATGTAGGGAAGGAAGTGCAGGGTACCACGATTTTCTGAGATATGATCTGCTTCTCCAGTATCCCTTTCTCATGGGGCTACAGAGACCTCTTGGGCTGCAGATCCTCGTGGGGCTCTGGGGAGCCTGGAGCTTCTTTTTCTCCCTCCCACCTTGGGCCCTGGCATTCTTCTCTGCTATGCCAGCTTGCCATTTTTCCTTCTGACTTTCCAGGCTACTACCGCAGCCTGCTTCTTCACTCCTGTTTCCTACTGCTGGAGCGTGCTCCCTGTCTCCTTTGCTTAGTTTTTGAAAGACATTCACAGAATGTTCCAGTGTGTGAGTGTGTGTACATGCATGCACACTCATATTTTGCCTTTGCAACTAGGCTGGGAGTGTTTTGGGGTCAGAACTCTATCATTACTTTTTTGTTCCTTAAGCAATTGCCGACAGTAATTCGTTAGGGCAGATTTGGTGAATGAACAGATTAAAGAATGAGTGACACATGTGAAGAACATTACCAATACAGAGAACATTGTTAAAAAAGAAAAAGCTGTAGAATTTCTCTTAAAAATGGACTCCATGAAAGGCATTTTGGATGGTATAGTTAATGCTGGATTGTATGAGGTGATCAATAAAAAGGATGTTTTAAGAGTTCAGAAGGGGCAATGAGTAGAATGGGGCTCTCAAACACTAATGATGGACCTATTTTCAGAGTAAAGCCAGGTGCCTAAAGTTAACCATATTTGTTTTTGTCTACCAAAAGCCACAAAATATATTTATCAACACACAAATTTATATGCACACACATAAATCTTCTTTTAATTTTTTTTTTCAACGTTTATTTATTTTTGGGACAGAGAGAGACAGAGCATGAACAGGCGAGGGGCAGAGAGAGAGGGAGACACAGAATCGGAAACAGGCTCCAGGCTCCGAGCCATCAGCCCAGAGCCCGACGCGGGGCTCGAACTCACGGACTGTGAGATCGTGACCTGGTTGAAGTCGGACGCTTAACCGACTGCGCCACCCAGGCGCCCCAAATCTTCTAATTCTGTCCTTAGCTTCTAAACTATTTTCTCTTGGGGGTACTTGCCATTATCTGGCTGTGTTTCTTCACATCGCCTGGGTACTGTGGCTGTGCTCAGCCTGTGGGTGCTTCGTTCAGCAGAAAAAATGTTTCATCTCCACATATTCCATTCCCTGCAGAAACTTACAGTTTCTCCTCTGGCAGTACTTCCCTCCCCATTAGGCAGTATGGTTCACTGTTGGGGTGCATTTGGGCACAAACCAGCCCTTTTGTTGAGTTACTGTACTCCCACCTTCCTAATTATAGAATTCAAAGCATAATGAGTGAATTAATAACATGTATTTATTGCCTGCAGGGTCTGGGGAAGCGTAATGCTGTGGCGCACTTACGGTAGTGCATAAGCTCTCCCGTCTCCCCTCATCCTCCATTTTTGCTCTGTGAGTTCACAGCAGCAAGAACGGAAGGTGCACTTTACTCACCAGTGAGTAAATCATGTGAATGGATGTTTTAAAGCACATGCCCAATACACAGTTCACTGAGAGAACTATACTTTCAAAAGCTCTCTGGGAACACATGCTTGGAGTTTGAAATTGTACTAAGTACTGTGTTTCCTATGGTATCCTAGCTAAGGCAAGAGTGTATCGGCCTAGAAAGCATTTAAATGTGAGCTATCGCATTTACTTTCTCCAAGAATTCTCCACAGAATTCTTAAGTGTTTAATTCTACGGTCATTCAAGCATGCAAATACTTGTAGTGTTGGTGTCAGAGAGATAGAACTCTAAGTTACCAAAAGACTATAGAAATTGTTTCTCTTGTGGTGCATGGGTGGTCCAGTCATTTGAGCGTCTGACTCTTGATTTCGGCTCAGGTCATGATCTCATCATTTGTTGGATTGAGCCCCTTGTTGGGCTCTGCCCTGATAGTGTGCAACCTGCTTGGGATTCTCTCTCTCCTTCTCTCTTTCTGCTCCTCTCTCACTAGCACACACGGACGCGCGCTCGCTCTCTCTCTCTCTCTCTCTCTCAAAATAAACAATAAAAGATAAAACAGTTTTTAAAAATGTCTGTAGAAATCATTTCTCTTTTCCTGATAATGAAAAGGATTCGGATTCATTCTGTTTGAAGTAATCTTTGTCCCAGGTTGCCTCTGGACTCCTGTGGCAGCCTGTATTTTCAGATCCATACAGGCTGATGTAAACCATACAATAGACTCAAAGCCACTTGATTCAGGACTTGATGATTGGGGAAGTTGGGGAGTTAATTTGCATTTTTATATATCAGCTACCTATTTGATTAAGATTTGGAGATGAAAGATCCATCTCTTAGGAAATATAATGACCAGGGTATGTTACAGGTGGAAATTGACTTCGGTGAAATGTGAATGTTTCCATTGGTTTGGCAGATTTCACTAAGCTCTTTTTGGAGAAGAAAATGCTAAGATGAAAGATATGGCAAATTATTACAAGAATGAATAGGAAGTGTAATAGTGAATTTAATAAATAATGACTTATTAATAATCTAGGCTGAAAATACAATTTTTACAAAGGTGAGGGAAAAGTCTGTCACATGAAGTATAGGTAACTCAGATGCTTTGGAGACTAGATAACTAGAAGGATCACTGTTGCCCCCCTAAATTACACTCTGTTGGGAGTCCCAATCAGAGACAGAGTACTAAGCTGGAGAGACTGGTTCTAACCTCATAGAATCATTCTTGTTAGACAAATTCCTTTCCTGTCTTCCCCTAGAAAACAAGGAAGGCTGATATAATTCTAATTCATTGGATATTTTAAAAAGCACACAGGAGAAACCAAAAGTATTTTCCTGGGGCGCCTGGGTGGCGCAGTCGGTTAAGCGTCCGACTTCAGCCAGGTCATGATCTCGCGGTCCGTGAGTTCGAGCCCCGCGTCGGGCTCTGGGCTGATAGCTCAGAGCCTGGCGCCTGTTTCCGATTCTGTGTCTCCCTCTCTCTCTGCCCCTCCCCCGTTCATGCTCTGTCTCTCTCTGTCCCAAAAATAAATAAACGTTGAAAAAAAAAATTAAAAAAAAAAAAAGTATTTTCCTATTGGGTCATTGGCTAAGTTTATCCTGAGTTGTGGCCCATTTTGTGTTTTATTTTGTTCGTTTTAATTTGGTGTCCAGATATCTGTCATTTAATTCAAGACTATGAAGCCCATTATGTATAGTTAAACTTTAAACACAAAACAAGATTAGTAAATGCTTTCTCTTGAATAGTAGTTGCATTCTGCATTTAGTACAAGAAACAGTTAAATGATGTATATTTAAACAAAACTCCTACGTTAGAAAAATGCATTACAGACTAGAAGAGAAATTTACATTGTACTCACAAAAGACTCATACTCCCTCCTCCACAACTATTTTCAATTTCATTTTTTAACATCCAAAATAAAATGAAGGCCAAGGTTTTAGAATTCTCAAGAGGTATTTTCTTCAGGTTCTAGTGCTTGCTATCACTGTCCTGCATTTGACACTGTGAAATAGTGGATGTGAAATAAACTGTAAATGAATTATGCATATATTCCATATTTGTCATCCATTTTTATCAATAATTGAATTTTTTCCAGCCATTGATCTTATCAATAACTTGCTGCAAGTAAAAATGAGAAAGCGCTATAGCGTGGATAAGACCTTGAGTCACCCTTGGCTACAGGTAAAAATCATTTATTGGATATTTTCCTGATCAGATGAACTTCTGAATATTGATGAGATTTAATATTATATGTAAAATATTTTGTTATATGCTTAATTAAAAGTTTTCTTACATCAGTTTGTTTGCCAAAATGCATGCAACTTCTTAGGATTTAATAACAATTTAGTGTTTCTTAATCTCTCTACCAAGAAAATGTGACAGGGAAGAAATATACCACACATACATACGTGCCCTTGCACACGTGCCAAAAAAAAAAACAAAAAAAAAACTAAGGGTCGTTGTAAAACTCCAAGGACCAGATTTTAAGAAAATCTGTATATGTAATCCTGAGAAGTGTCCAAGCAGATGCCCATCTGGTCATGCACTGTACTCCTTTGCAAGCTGTGTTTTAAAAGCCTATGCTAACATTCATGGAACAAATGCACGGCAAATATAAAATATAGGCGTGTGTTTGTTTTCTCTTACATATTTATTTTCACATTCAACTTTAGAAAAATGATACTGTGAAATACTGAAGGGTTATTTGTAGGCCTTAAATATCAAAGGAATACCAGTATTCCTAATTGCTTGGCCGCAACCATTGATTGCCCACCCCCTGATGCACAATAGTTTAGGCAAATAGGATGGCTTTGCTGCCGATGACGTCACTTCAGGGTGCCTGATGGAAAGACAGGGCACTGATAGAGTGGAAGGAAAAAGGGTAACTCATCAGTTGCGGGTACTGACAACAAATGAGACAGTATTTTAATGAGTTTTCATCGTTTCCATGGTAATGTTTTGGAATTCCTTCCTCAGGATTATCAGACCTGGTTAGATTTGCGAGAGCTTGAGTGCAAAATCGGGGAACGCTACATCACCCACGAAAGTGACGACCTGCGGTGGGAGCAGTACGCTGGCGAGCAGGGGCTGCAGTACCCTGAGCACCTGATCAATCCCAGTGCTAGCCACAGTGACAGTCCTGACGCTGAAGAAACAGAGATGAAAGCCCTCAGTGAGCGTGTCAGCATCCTCTGAGTTCCGTCCCCTCTAATCTGTCAAAACACTGTGGAATTAATAAATACATACGGTCAGGTTTAACATTTGCCTTGCAGAACTGCCATTATTTTCTGTCAGATGAGAACAAAGCTGTTAAACTGTTAGCACTGTTGATGTATCTGAGTTGCCAAGACAAATCAACAGAAGCATTTGTATTTTGTGTGACCAACTGTGTTGTATTAACAAAAGTTCCCTGAAACACTAAACTTGTTATTGTGAATGATTCATGTTGTATTTAATGCATTAAACCTGTCTCCACTGTGCCTTTGCAAATCGGTGTTTTTCTTACTGAGCCTCAATTTGGTAAGAGTCTACAGAACCTGTCCATGCAATAGTTCTGTCCCGTGTGCCCCATTGGCGCTGTCATTATAAACAAACTCTTGAAGAGTAGATTATTACCAGTTCTATGAACAACTCCAAAACTCATGTGGAAAAAACAAGCGATGGGGGAATGGAAGATGGATTTACGATCCTAGACACAAGTGCATGAAAGAGTTTCCTGTATAGTTTGAAATCCTTTGCCTGCCTGGTGTGCCTCAGTATGTTTAAACTCAAGTAAGTGGACCTAGGTGCACCTACTACTTATAAGCCTAAATGCCTTAGAAATGTAAACCGCCGTATATAACAGATATTTCCCCCTTTCTTGCAATATCCTCTGTACTGTGGAAAATCAGAAGCTAAGCAACCTTTCGTCTTTATGTATTTTTCAGTAATAACAAATAAATATTCTTGTCAAAGTGTGTGTCCATCTGACTGAATTTGTAATCCACACTAGTGTTTTCGGGCCATTTAGGAGCGGAGGTGTTTGCTCAAAAAGCAGAAAAAGTCTCATGCTTTAGAATCTGGCTGTAACTACTCTGAAGCTCAAAAGTATGTTTCAAGGTGTAATGAAGCATTTCTGTCTTTCATGTCATCTGGTTTCAATAGAAAAAAAAAAGAGCTCTGGAAGGGAAAAATGACCAAAGCCAAACAGGAGCCTTGGAGGCATTAAGAATATTGTAAATGGAAGTCTTGTTGTAGCTTCCTGATTTAGTCAATATAAAATCAGGATTTGTTACAATAATGACTCTAATTTCTTTCCATATTATCTAAACAAGAAGGTTCTAAAGTGGACTACAAAAACACATAAAGACTGGGGAAAAAAAAAAATCCTAAAGGGAAAGCCAACTGAGGTGTTCTCCAGCCTGGGAAAGAGAAAACTAATATTGGACTTAATAGGCTTTGGGGTATGGAGTGGATTATGTGGGCTGTTTTTCTTTCTAGCAAGACAACAAAGCATTATCATGGATCACTGTTACTATGTAGCAGAAATGATATAAATATTTGGAAGAATTTCATAAGTGTTGTGAGATACTTGAATGTATTAGGTAACTACGTGAAGACTACAAACAGTATTTGCAGACGGGATAGAGTAGTTGGATCTTTCCAGTGGTTAGTCACTATTTTGTATTATTACCTATTCTTTATTCTGTTCTATTATTATTTATCCCTTTCCCTTATTCTAAGGGATTTGAAATTTAAGTTTCAGAACACCATACAGACTTTTAAAGCAGAAGAGTAAGCAACATCACAGGTTGCCAGCATTACAGAGTCTGGATAGAAGCCAGGGCAAGAAGTGAGCCAAAAGACCAATCTTTGGGTTGGTCTCTCCTATCTATTGAAATAACCCTTCTAAGATGATGGGGACCTGACATAAAACAGTAGTAAATGAAATTTAAATGTGGTATTTAAAGGAGTCCAGAATAGATCCTTGGTGATCATTAGATGATTGATGGAACTATTGGTCAAAAGGAGTTCTAGTCTTAGAAAGGGCGAGCTCATGTTTGAACATGTTAAGTATAAAGTTCTATAGGACCCCAAGTTTAGAATATCCTGAGAGTATTTAGATATGTGTCTAGAGCTTTGGGGAAGAATTCTGGAGCTGAAGGTACAGATTTGGAAGTCCAAAGCTCGCCATATGTTGATTAGAATGACTTGGATTCTTGGCGATAGAATGAGATGGAAGTGATCTTGGGACACAAACCTCAGAAATACGAATATGGAATGTTTGGGCAGAATGAAAGGGAAATTGAAAAAGAATGTTTAAATGTGGAATTCACTGGAGTAATAATATAGAAGTCAAAGGAATAAGTTCAAAAATGAAGTAGATAGCAGTAGAAAATACTATGGAGAGGTAATGATTACGGCCTTTTGGGGACCAACAATTCTAGTATTTTGTAATGGATATGGCTCTACTGCTACATTCAGAATAGTCATGTCAAAAGAACATGTGTGTGGCAATGCTATTTAGACTGCCCATTGTGCAGTGTCATCAAGCACAGGAAAGAGAAAAAACTGCTGATTTTCAGAGAAAAGGGGGCCACTGAAAGCCATGCTATGTCTCTTCCACCCAGAATTATCAGTGATGCTGCAAAGAATCCAATTTTATTGAATGAGTACCAACTTTGTATGCTAAAACTCATCAATAAACTTCTTCAAACTTCACATCAATGGTATATCATAGTATTAACTGACATGGGCAGGTCCATAGTCTATGTTTAATTCAAAAGGTAGCCCAGCACTTTTGATATAGAAGTATCTTCTGATCCTAACCAAAGAGAGAGAGAGAGAGAGAGAGAGAGAGAAATGACAAAAGCTTGTTGTAGGGTGGATGTGTCTTCCTTCATTGTCACAGAGACAACATTCCTTAAGCAATAACTTTATCAGCCCACCCAAGGTGCCATAAAAATTTCTGGTCTCTGTATATCTTGAACCATCAACACTAACTGCCACTGTTCTGGCATTTGGCCTGAACAAGAGGACAGTGCTGAGAAAAATATTTTGATCAGTGATGCTTGAGTATGTTCATTTATCCCTAAGGAAGAGATCATTTTTGTGTTGGGTGAATACTCACTCTGATGAAGACTATTTTGAGAAATATATAGCAGGCCATTGTGACCAAACGTGTAACATAAGTACAGTGGTGAGAATAAGAAAGCCATCTGTCTCCTCTGCAGCCATTATCCAGTCACTATTAAGTTTGACTACCCCTATGAAGTGATTAGGTTTGCATACCATTTGTTTGGACTTGTTTTAAGAAACCAAATACTGGTTCCTGTGAAGATACCCCAAGACCCATGGAGAAGGGCCTTCTGCTTTCAGTTGCCAAAAGGAAACAAGTTCCTTCATCTCAGCCTTTTCACATCACCTAAAAGACTGTTTTCTCCACTCCACTCCCTTGCCTTTACTCCTATTCATTTTTTACCATGCATTTGACCTATGTCTTACATCTTTTTTTTGCTCCCCTGCTTCTTTTTAACTAACTTCTTTTTTGTTAGATATTTTTAGTATCCACTAACGATTACCCTTTGACTTAAAACAGGCTCAGCTTCCCACTTACCACCAAACAATATAAAGAAATCAACTTGAACCTTGATTCTCCAATTAGTAAGTGTCTGATTTCTATTTATTCTTTCTCTGGAAAATTTCTCACTTTTTTCCCTTTGACTTCTGTGTTTATATCCCATTGAATAAAATTTTCATTTTTATCACTAATGAGTCTCTTCTCATAAGAGTCATCAGTGGCCTCTAACTCAAAATTGATAGATTTTCTCAGTATAGCATGGAAGTTGGAAACCCAAATACAGAGACAGACTTACTTTGGCTTGAATTCTGGGTGACCATGAAAGCACTGTAATGGCTCATGTCACTTTAGGGGTGTTGTGAGGGACTAAATAAAATAATACAAACATAAAACTCAGTGGCTACCTGGCCCAAGGCATCAATAAAGTGGTTTGCTTTTCTTTAGTCATTCAGCAACTACTTTCGATCACTTTCGATGTGCTGGGAATATGACAGATGAAAAGGTAGATGTGGTTGTCACCCATATTCCCTATGACCTACCTTCTCTGGTGTCCTGCCTCCATGTATTCTAATGGGCTACTGAAAGGGGTGTGACCTTTGAAGCTTAACAGGTATAGATCCAAATCCCAACTCCAAGCCTTGTTAAGTGAACTTCCACAAACTACTTTAAAATCTCTGAGTCTCCTCCTGAGTAGAATGGCAGTAATGCATATTTTAAAATGCAGTTAGGATAACTAAGGGAAGCATTCAAATTTCTTAGCAAATTGCTGGCATATGTTGCAGGTCAACAGACGTTAATGTCCTCCTCTCCCCTACCTCTGTATGCATTTGCTAAGGTTTTCCTTACTTTCTTTTTCAATATTTTCTCCTCATATGGTTTATTTCCATGAATTCAATTATTATTTTAGCAGGCACTCCCAAATCCATTTTGGCCACCCGGAACTCTCAACAATCTAGTCTCCTCTCTCCATGAATGTATAGACTATATCTATCTAAAGGTCCCACCATGACTTAAATTCAACATGTCTAAAATCAGCGTTATCATTTTTCACCTTCAAATCAAAGGCATTGTAGACTTGGTCTCAATGAAACCTTTTTCTTCAGGCTCTTCTCCCTCCCATCTACTCTATACACCACTGCCAGGTTTATCTTCACCAATATTACTTTCATCCTCTTGCTCACATGTTCTAAAATCCTCAAAGACTCTACTCCCAGTTATCTACAGGATAAATTCAAATTCCATGGGGCGCCTGGGTGGCGCAGTCGGTTAAGCGTCCGACTTCAACCAGGTCAAGATCTCACGGTCCGTGAGTTCAAGCCCCGCGTCGGGCTCTGGGCTGATGGCTCGGAGCCTGGAGCCTGTTTCCGATTCCGTGTCTCCCTCTCTCTCTGCCCCTCCCCCGTTCATGCTCTGTCTCTCTCTGTCCCAAAAATAAATAAACGTTGAAAAAAAAAATTAAAAAAAAAAAAAACAAATTCCTTAATGATACAAAAGCTGTGGGGTCCAAAATTTAATAAAGTACTATTCAATTAGAATTCTATGTATCCCACAGATTTCTGGATCACAGATAGGAATTTCAGGACTAAGGCAGGAATTAGTTTCACTTCTTTGAAGTTCATTTCTTAGTTCTATAAGA